TATTTTTTTTAATTTATGATATGGACATGCAGAATGATGCATGAGCAGGATAAGTTTTTTTTTTAATTTTATTTTCTTTGGAGGAGAAAAAAAATATCTAAATATGCTACAAACTACCCCAAGAATATGATAAATACTTCATGCAATCATTAATACATTCCAAATGTATGCAAACGTAATGGTACACTCTAATTCACCCTAAGAGAGAGAAACATAAATATGTACATAAAATTAAACTCTAGGGTTATAAAGCCGAACTCCTAAGTGAGTAAATAAGTTTGAAAGTGTTTATGTGCCTACAACAGGACATTTATAACCCGTTTGAAAGGCAACACTTCTATCTAAAGCTTAAACAAATAGTTAGGAAGAAATAAGGTAAATCATTTTTTATTCTTTTTTTTTAAGTGGTTCATTTAAAACCTAATGGTTAAAACTCCAAATCAACCCTAATTTTTTATTAAAAACAATATGCCATGAACGACGGAACAACCCACATAAAATGCAATATGAGTATGGTGTGAAGTTATGTACTAATGCATCCTAAAGGATAATCGCCCTCAAATTTTCCATGTGCTTTGGCAGTATGGTCGACTTGAGTGGAGAATTTCATGCGCCTGCATGGGAACCGCAATTCCACGAAGGTCACACTACTCAGTCTCCGATCTAATCCTAAAAGGTAAAGCCCGGGTAGGAGGCTTGTGAATGTGTGTGAGATGCATGATGATGCAAAATAAAATAATAATACAATTAAATGAAGAAAAAAACAAACAAAAAAATGGACCCAAAAACATATTACAATAGGATAATAAATGACAAAATAAATTGCTTGACTCTCAAATGTCCCCAGTGGAGTCGCCAAGCTGTCGCAACGTCATCGCGACGCGGAGCGGCCGACGTAATCCCCCTGAAGGGTCTCTTTCGAGATAAGGGTTTGGAGTCGCCACCAATCATCTACGAGGTGTGATTGGTCACCTAAAAATAAAGACAAGGTCTGCGAAAACAGATTGTTGGTTCGGGAGTCGACTGAGCGTAGGGAAGGTGTTAGCACCCTACAACACCCGTTCGAAAACGGTACCACATTCTATCATAAATTATCCTATTATTTTATTTGGTCCAAGAAAAAAAATATTTTTGTTTTGATCGAAATGTCCCATGTTATATTAATTCACACATTGTTATAAGATATGAATTAATATGTATGAGTGACACGAACGCCATTAGAAAAATTAAGCACCTCGAGTAAATTGGGGGTTCCAATTCCCGTCATTGGAGTTTTCAAAATAATTATTTAGTAAAAAAAAATAATAACAAAAAATAATTTATTTTAAGGCACATTGAGACTTGAGCTTCTGACTTAAGCGTTAACATTTAAACATCTCACCAAGGTGCCACCACTTTAGTATGTAATCTTTGTTCTTTTTGAAAATACAAACTTTGTATTTTTAAATTTTGTTTAAAAAAAAGGGAAAAAACTCTAAACCAAATCTTTTATTTAAAATAATTATTTAGTAAAAACAATAAAAAGAGGCATGCAAAGACTCTAACTTGGGTCGTATATTAAAAACCAAACATCTTACCAATATGTCAACACCCTAAGAAGTAAACATTGTACTCTTTTAAAAAACAAAAGTTCTAATTTAATTTTTAAACTATAAAAAAAACGAATTTTTTTAAATTTAAACAAAAAAATAATTTTTTTATGCATTTTGACATTAAAAAGATTTTTTCAAGAAAATCTTTTATTTCTAATTAAAAAAAATTAAATTTTACTTAAAACAAATTGTTAAGATCTTTTCTAAAATGATAATCATCATTTAAAAAAAGATTTCATATTCCTAACAACTTATTGTAAATTACAAATGTTACAAGATTAAAACAAATCCTAGAAAACAATTTTCTGTAAATCCTCTATTTTTTAAATCTCTGCAGCAGAAATTCTCTTTTTAAAAATAAATAAAAAAATTAAGAAAACAAAATTAAGAACTTTGGAAATTTTAAAGAATCCAATTTATTTTTAAAAGATTTAGTTTATAAAACTCTTATTATTATTATTTTTAACTTACAAAACTTTAATGCAAAATCTTTTATTTAAATGAAATTAACTTTTTGTTACTTTATTTAAAAATTATTTTATTTTACTTTTAAAAAAAAATTATCTACATTATTTTTCAAAACTTATTTTAAAAAGTTTATTTTCTTTAAAAGGAAAATTTTTATTTTTTTTTTTGGTTAAAAATAAACTTTTTTTATTATTAAAAGAAATGTAGGGGTATACTGTGCAAAGATTTTTACCATGGATGTCGTTCGTCGTGTTAGAGTGGGTCGCTGGACTCTTGGTCGTCGTCGGTCAATCACCGGAGGATGGTCTCAAGGCAGCAAT